ACCTGCAATGGGGGAAACTGGTTAATTATGGAAATCATTAATGATTAATGATTAATAATTCATGATTAATAAATCTGCGACTGAGGGAGAGCCAGGGGTCCTGCCCAGGGGGGGCCCTGGGGTGGCCATGTCACAGCAGGGGCTGGCAACAGGCACCTGAAATGGGGGAAACTGGTTAATTATGGCAATAATTAATGATTAATAATTAATGATTATAATTAATTATTATAAATAATGATTAATAAATCTGGGACGGAGGGAGAGCCGGGGGTCCCGCCCAGGGGGGGATCCAGGGTGGCCATGTCACAGCAGGAGCTGACAACAGGCACCTGAAATGGGGGAACACAAGTTAATTCTGTAATTAATTAATGAGAATTAATTATAATTAGTGATTAATAATTAATAATTAATGATTAATAATTAATGATTCATAAATCTGGGACTGAGGGAGAGCCAGGGGTCCTGCCCAGGGTGGGCTCTGGGGTGGCCATGTCACAGCAGGAGCTGACAACAGGCACCTGCAATAGGGGAACACAAGTTAATTCTGTAATTAATTAATGAGAATTAATTATAATTAATGATTAATAATTAATAATTAATAATTATTAATAAATCTGAGACTGAGGGAGAGCCGGGGGTCCCACCCAGGGTGGGCTCTGGGGTGGCCATGTCACAGCAGGGGCTGGCAATGGGTACCTGAAATGGGGGAATCTGGTTAATTATGGCAATAATTAATGACTAATTAATGATTAGTGATTAATAATTATTGATTAATAAATCTGTGACTGAGGGAGAGCCAGGGGTCCCACCCAGGGGGGGCTCTGGGGTGGCCTTGTCACAGCAGGGGCTGGCAACGGGCACCTGCAATGGGGGAATCCAGGGTTAATTATGGGATTAATTAATTAATAAATCCAGAACTGAGGCAGCACCGAGTGGGAAATACCCTTCCCAAACCATGAGCAAGGAACTCTCCACAGTGTGTGCTCAGGAATTCAAATAATAATTTAATAATTCAATAATTACAATTGAATTATTTCAAATTTTCTCCATTTGCTACTCCACTCCTCCTCTTTTGCATTTAATTTAATTTTTGCTTTAATAAAGGTTATTCCACTTAAATTAATTTATATAAATATGTAACACTTATGTAGTATAAGAATATAAATTTTTAAAGATTTATACAACACAAATAATAAAATTTAATTATTTAAATTTCCTTTATTTACTACTCCATTCCTCCTCTTTTTCATTTCATTTAATCTTTTATTTAATCAAAATTATTTATTCTTATTAAACAATTCAAATTGAATTATCTGACATTTTCTCCATTCCTCCTCTTTTCCATTTTATTTTTCATTTAATAACAATTATTCCTATTTTAATTAGATAATCCGAATTTAATTATTTGAAACTTCCTTCTCCATTTAATTTAATTTAATTCCAGCACCTACCTAAGGGCATGGCAGTCCTCGATGCCTCGCAGGGACGAGCTCCTAACGCCGGGCTGGGGGAAAAATGGGAATTAATTAGGGATTAATTGGGAATTTCATTATCCAGCAGCATTAGCAGAGCAGGAAATTCCTAAAAAATTGAGATTTTCTCATGGGTGAGGCTGATTTGGGGAATTTGTTGGCTCGCAGGGAAGAAATACTTTAAAATATGTTAATAAAAATAATAATTATACTTAGAAATAACAACAATAATAATAATAAAAATTGGAATAAATATTTTTACATTATATTCTATTATTTTCACACCATTAGTAATTATTATATAAATTACTCGACTATAATAGATACACTAATACGTGTTATATATAATACATACATAACAACGTGACTATTATATTTTATTGTAACAGTAAATTTATTGCTATTAAATTATAGCAATTATTTCATTATTTTTACATTATACTCTTTCATTTTTACATTATATCAACTATTTAAATACAGTATATATTACATGTAATACATATATTATCTGCCACATGCTACTATATCATTATTTTTATATTTTATCATAGTAATAGTAGTAACAAGTAGTATTACTATTGTTATCATTATTGCTGTTTCA